GGCGTTAGCCTATAAAGATCGTGATCTTTATCCCATTAAAAAAACCTAAAATGTCTGACTGCAGAACTCCCAAGCCCTGTGAAATGGTAACATGTATTCTCTTCTCCAGCACACCCATGGACCAGCCAGCTGTCTGAGTGTACCGGCTTCTCTCTTGAAGACCTGTTGCCCTGTGTGCTAAGCCTCCACCAAAAATGGTAATAGTTTTGGAACTCTTCTGGGAGGGCACATGAGTGCTTGGATTCCATCTCTTGCAGACAAGTTGCATCTATACGGTCAGCCCTTCTGAACAAAGGGGGTGGCTTTGGGAAACTGCCTTCTTCCCCCCCAAGGCACTGAGGCTAGTTCAGGGACAGCTATTCCATTTCTCCCAATGGGTCGTGCCCTAGGTTACAGAACACGTGATGCTCCTCAAGGCTAACAGGTTTCAGCTTGCCAAACATCACTATTTTCACTGCCACCTTGGTGAGCTTCAGAAGGAGTTCCAGTAGCAAAAGTAGCTCACCTCTTTAAAGAGTACAAGGCAAATACCTTGTATGAGCAGAAAAGGAATTAGTTGCTCATATGCTTAGGAACCAAGTGTCCTGGCTAGCCAGTTAGCAGCTCTGCTGAAACACCAACTTCCTTAGCACAGAGCTGAGCTGGACAGAGGGAAAGTACTTAAATTAGCAGGTTTTGTTATCACTGTTTCATATAATCTGTTCTAAGATTTCAGCTTTAATCTTTCTTTCCAGTTTCCATGACGATGTCCCAAAGGATTACAGGCAGGTGTCTTTAACTGCAGTGAAACAGCGATTTGAAGATGAGCGTTATGAAGAAATAGGCAAAGAAAAGGTGGGTGAGCTCTTTGTCTTCATTTGCTGATGTCTGGCACCCACCCAGCAAAGCTTCCATGTGGCAGGATGTAGTAAACTTCAAGTAATGGGAAGTGGGTTCTAACTTTAGACTTTTGGAGTAGAGGATATCTAAATAAAGTGGTGACTTTAAACTTGATATGCGAGGACTACAATTACTTTGGTTGAGTATGTGTGGGAAGTACTCACTGGGATAGGTTTCTCCTAGAAAATAGCTAGCCTGGCAGAGGGAATCACACTGTCTAATTCTTACTGACTTTTTTTGGTTTTTAGATGATGAGTTACAGCCAGCTCTGTTCGTTGTTGGGTATGAAACAGGAGGACCCGGAGCCCAGTCCCTTGCACATGAATGTGGTGGAAATTCAGACTTTCCTTAGCTCTCCCTCTGGAAAGAGAACTAAAAGGCTAGTATAACTCGTTGCTGTAAACACCTCTGAGGACTAGCATGAGCCTTTACTCCTCTCTGGTATCCTGAGGCTTCATTCTTAAATATGATCAATTTTTCTGTAATCATCTTAATTGATATATCTATCAAAAGAGCTGGAAAAGAAGACTTGGCATTTAATGTGTGACTTCTGGATTTTCTTTCTACAGGAGGAGGGAAGACAGCATTCAGGATGACAGAGGCAGTTTTGTGACTACACCCACAGCAGAGCTTTCCACTCAGGAAGAAAGTCTCCTAGATAACTTCCTAGACTGGAGTTTAGATTCCTGCTCTGGTTATGAAGGTGATCAGGAAAGCGAAGGCGAGAGAGATGGAGATGGTGAGGGTTTTATTCTCCTTATAAAAAGCAGACAAGAGAATTGAAACTGTCTTTTCATCTTTGCTTAAAACTGTTTCTCAGGCAACAGAAGCCTGAACTTTCTTCTGAAGACCAGTTGGAAAAACTCCCCCTTCCCCAGTGGTTATAATTGTTAAACTATTGGAGAGGTATCTATCTGTTCTCTTCCTCTATACTGGTTCAGAACATGATGAAGGGGTTTGTAGCTGCTTAGCATTTCAGAGACTGTTCTCAGATACTGCTGATGGTGGACCAAAGGTGATGAATGGCCCACTGTGTTAGAACGCTCCGTTACCCGTTTGTTTTGCTGACTTGGGGACTGGCTGTTTATTTTCTAAACAGCTCTTGGTACCTATCCAAACAGTCTGAGGGGGGAAAGTTGCCGTTTTAAATGAGGGTGAACTTAGTGCTCTACTCTCCCCTCCGTGTGTAAGTAGACATTGTGATCTTGCTTGGTTCTTTTTCTGCTCGATTCTGTGCTGAACACCCACTTGGTGTTGCCTGAATCAAAACTAACCTTTTCCTTTTATCATTCCGCAGTGACGGGTCCCAGTGGGATCCTGGACGTGACAGTGGTCTATATGGATCCTGCGGAGCACTGCTGCCAGGACTCCAGCGATGAAGACAACCTAGCTATAGAGTGGGCCGGGCATGCGGCACCACTGAGGGAGGCCAAGCTGCCGGATGACACTCGCAGCCTTTCAGCACATCTCACCCCAAGAAATCCTAACCTGGAAGGGAGCTCGGGCTACTCTTCTGTCAACAGTGGCAGTCCTACATCTTCTGCAGAAGGCAGCCTTGGAGTACCTCTCAAACCTACCTCAGCACTGGCTCCTGGCCGTGCCCTGAACAAGGAGCCCTGCCTGCCTCGTTACCTGGAATCGTGTTTACAGTCAGTCTGTGCTAGGCCTGGTGAGAGCAAGTGCGACAGGAGGCAAGTCAAGCGAAAAAATGTGGCAGAACACAGTGCAGAAAGGGTGAACTTGGGCTTCTTAAGCCTCTGATTTCTTCATGCTCTTTACTTTGCTAGGGTTCCTGGAAACAGTGTTTCTGTGTAGTCATACAGGGATGATAGCAAATAATTGTCAATACCTCCAAAAAGAGCCCTTCCCTTTGACTTTGCCTATGTGTATCTTCTAATTTTGTAGCTCATTTCTGGGCTAGCTGCTTCCTTCCTTGCTAGCTGCCTTTTTAAAGTATTCTCTACTGTCTGATCCTCTGCAAATTAAGATTCTCTTCCACATATGAAACTTTATAGCTCATGTTTGTCTTACCTCACCAGTTACTCCTTGGTGAGAAGAAAACTTGTCACCTCCCTTGCTTTGCCGTGAGGCCTGGCACTATAAAAGAAAGGAATTGACTTTGATTCCCAAGTTACTGGATGTAACACTATGCTTGAATTCTTCCACTCAAATGACCTTTTAGAGGCCGTGCTGCCTTTTCCTTCTGGCCAGGTACTGTCTCAGCCGGTGCTTCCCTCTTCTCTGTATATACTATTATTTGCTGCACTGATCTAAGGTTTTTATGGCTACAATCAAAAGGTAAATGAAGGCTCACTGCAGGGCTGAGCTTTTTTACCTACCTCTCAGATGGTTTTAAACTCCATGTGCCTCAGGCTCTAGTTGCCATGTTTTCCTCACCCAAAAAAATCCTTCTGTGCCTTAATGCTTCACTGCCCAGTACTCCAGTAACACCATCTCTGTGAACTGGTCTCTGCTGGAGCAGCGTTGTTAAACTGCCATCTCCAGCCCGTGGCTCAATGTCATTTCCCATCTCGCGCTGTCTTCCTTGCTCTTTCCACTAACGCGTCCTCCAGTAGAGCACAAATCACTTGAACACTAGAAGCAGGCAGCAGGGCAGGCAGTTTGTCAGACAAAGCCCTAGTTTAAGCCTTGCTGCTGGCTCCTAATCTGCAAGGGCAGCATATGCTTTTCTTAGCAAAAATGAAATCGGTGCTGCTTCAGAACAGTTTGAAGAAACCCCCCATGCTGCCCCCAGCCTGGGTTAAAGCTCCTTCAGCCTGCGATCGTTAGGAAACCATCCACCTCTACAACCAGGTAGTGAGCATTGCAATACCAAGGTACAAGACTTCCAGGAGGTGTCACTGAATTTAACACTGGAACTGGACTCCATGACTCTTCCTTCGTTTAGAAGTTACTGTGGCAGATGGCAACAGTTCAGATTACACACAGTGTAGTGACTTTTTTATAAAAACATTTTTTTTAATATGGCTGGCTCCCTGTCTTACTTCAATGACTGGTTATCCCACTGACCTGGGGCTTGGAGAACTGGTGGGATGTTTGGGGCTGAAGTCAGAGTTGAGCTCTGATTAAGTTGCAGATGGGGCTGCCTATAGGATCTGTACATTAAGACCATTAAGCCTACAGCGAGGCCTTGAACATGCAAATAATCAACTAACAGCAGCCTTGAGTGCTTGTCCACAAAGTTTATTACAAAACTACGTACTGCCACTGTAGTTTAAAAAAAAAAAAATGTCCCTGATTTAGTTTTTCTGTGCCAGGCTTCACCCTTCTCCTGGTGGCTACACTGCAGTTCTCCAGCTACACTGACTTGCCGTGCAGGAGTGTCTTCACATTAACTTGTTACAGCAGCAGTTTGAAATTCAGCATTAGGTCACATGAAAATTGGGAGATAACACTTATAAAAACCTCTCTAAAAGTTCTAAAACAGGTAGGTAAAAGTTAAATATATGTGGGAAGGGCCTCACACTGCAGAAAGCTTTGAACTCTGTTCCTGTGCAGATTTTCTTGATCTGAAAGAAAAGGCACAAAATAGGAACATTAATTGGTTCAATTTCTCCCCAGGAAGAGTAAATGAGCTCCACATTCCTGGGGCTTGCTGCCTAACCCAGCAGCCTTGGCTGCTGCAGCCCCAGACCCAACCCAGAGCTGTCTCTCTATCGTGCCTTGTGGATAAAAGAGCAGTGGCTGTCCAGGCACCTAGTGCCACAGGCCCAAGGCAACACAACCATAAGCTGCTATCTGAAAAGGGAAAGCAAAACATACAGCCCAGAGCCTCAGTTCTTATAAAAAAAATGGAAGAAGGATCAGATTGCATCAGTCCACATTGTGTTAGCACCTCCACATGTCTACAGACTGTTCAGCCTTTGCTTTATTAACCCTTGTTTTCCTCCAAGGAAAAGTATTTCCAAAAAAAATTGAGGAAACATATGCTGTAACACAGGCTAAGCCTGGCTTTGTGTAGCACCAGACTGATCTCTTAACAGGGGCTGCTGAAGGGCCAGTACCCCTCCACATGTCAGGAGCAGCCCCTAGGTCTCAGCAGAGAGATGTCACAGCCCCCCCTGCCTGCAGCACCCCATGACCAGACCTAGGACCCTTACTTAGGGCACCAGTTTGATATCCACAGGGTCATAAGCCGAAGCTTTCATCTTTTCCAGTGGCTTCTTGAATAGCTGCCGCAGGGCCTCGTAGTTGGGCTTCTCCTCGTACTCTAGCGCCATTACTTGCTGCAGGTAGCTCTGCAGGGCATCTGCAAAGCAAGGAACGTCACTGCAACCCCAGCTGTCCTTACCAAGCTGCCCAGTGGCCTCGCACACTGCTCTCCCTGCAGACAGCTCACCCACCCGCCTCGGCCAGCTGAGAGAGGGGAAAACAAACCCAAAGACTAATAGGAAGCTCAAAGACAGGATGAGGAAATGACCTCTATCCCCCAAATGTTACTGGTTTAAAGCCACCAGAACATTTGCTTCTTCAGCAAGGCTCATGAATACAGAAAATGGGTAGCAGCCTCCTCGTTTTGCTGTACAGAAAACAAGGGATTGGATTGCAGGAGGACCTCGTCAACCAGTCCATGGAAGGCTTGGTGACCATCGCCAGCAGAAGCCATCCTGAATTAGCACCCCAGCACAGAGAAGGCTCTAGTTTCGCACACAGTCAATCCTCCTTCCCCAAGTCCCACTGGCACAGAGAGCAAGTCCATACCTGGAATGGATCTCTGCCTGAAGCACAGTCGGAGAAGGCATTTCACATCCCCCTTGTACCTGGAATAGTGCAGAGTGCGGTCAGATGAGACGCCAGGGAGCAGGCACCTGAACAGCCTGTCTTTGGCAACAGGGGCACAAAAAAAAGGCTGAATTCAGATGGCCACATTCTGAATGGAGCAGAAATCAGGGTTCATCAAACACCCTTTGGCCAGGCTCAGCCTTTACAGTGGGATTTGCCCACATCCCAATAGTGTTCTATGACCGAGTGATGCCTCTTCAGTCACAAAACCTCCCTCACTGTTTTCTGCTGAGCATTTCCCAAAAGAGCAGATGATTTCTCCTACTTTTCCTTCTTTTCCATCACAGTTTCTACTTTGTCCAGCTCATCAGACCAGGGCAAGAAGCCACAGAGCCATTTCAGAAGACAGTAGCCCAGAGATTCCAAGTCACTCCGGCGAGATGGTCCTGATGGGAAGGAAGAGATATTCACGTGTGAAAAAAAACCCAAGAGTTTGCGAGCCATCTCCAAAGAGGCGCAGGCTAGTGCCTCTCCTCCAAGGGCAAGCAAGGACTCCAGCACTCGCCACACAACCTCAGCAATCTCTATCATCTGAGGTGCCCCTTCTGTAAACCAGGCAGCCTCGTGAAGGGGCAGAAGTCTATAAAGATCAGAAGTAAAGAAATGCAAGAGCTTCATTAAGATGTGCTCTAGGGTATTGGTACTTCTGGGAGCCTGCTAACTCATGCAGTTGAGGAATCACCTCCCAGCCTCTGGAGGAGGATTTGCTCAGTCTGAACAATGGGAGAGAACAATCACATCCCCACCAGGAGAGGAACTGGCTAATTTAAATGCCTTTCCAGCTCTCATCGCTTCAAGGTCAGAGCAGAGCCTGCTGCAAATCTGTTTTGGGCAGGGATCCAGTCAGGCTTGAAACAGATCCCTGCTAAGCCAGCACAAAGCGGCCCTGTTTTCTATTCCTCACACGCCTGCAGTAGCCAAGGCTCCAGACGGAGAAGGGACATCCCTGCGCCTCTTGCTGCAGTCACTGAGTGACCTGGCAAATCCCAAACAGCAGCCCAGAAAGAGGCAAGAGTAAACAGCCCGAACAGGAGCTTGGTCCGAGGTGCAGGCAAATGCCTGGAAGGCAGCAGTAGCAAGTGCCAGCAGGGAGCCCGAGCTCCAGAGAGCACTGCCACAGTAACAGCTCTAGCTGAGCTTTGCTGGCTTGCATCAGAGACTCACCTGCTCCCTTGTGGCTGTCCAGACTGATGAACTCTACCGTGCCTTCGTGAGGGGTCCTGCTGCCTTCACGCTGAGCCACGTGCTTCCCTCCTGGGCAGTAACGGAATGCAAAGCAATAGCCAGCTAGGGTCACCTAGAAGACATCAAGAAGTACGCATCTGAGTGTGTGTCTGGTGTGAATCCTGCCCATAATCCTGCACCATGGCACCTGCTTGAGCCCCGCACAGGCTGCACTGCTCCCCTGCCCAGCAGCGGGAACCTGGGTGGTGCTCTACCCCATTTCACAAGCCCACCTTCACTGCTATTTCCTCGCAGCACTGCTCCTGCTCCCTACCTGCGTGAGGTCTGCTGGGTTCAAATAGACATTCTCAGCTGTGATGTCCCCGTGCACATACTCATTTTCATGAATGTACTCCAGGCAGTCTAGCTAGGGGAAAACAGAAGAGGCGAGCATCTCAGAACCACGCAGACTCCTTCAGCACCCTGGCTATCACTGAGCTGGACCCTCCCCAGCTCCCCGCAGCTGGGTGGAGGAGCACAAAAAGCACCGTGTCTCACAGCCTCTGATGTTCAAGTGTCAGGTTTCTCTCATTCTCCTTACCCCAAATTCCTTCAAGGTGACATACTGCTCAAAAGATGCTACTCAAGTTTACAACAGGCTTGAGAGATGCTACTTAAAGACCACAGCCAACCCCCTGGATCAGATTGAAAACACCTTTAAAAGATCCGGAAGAAAGTTACAGGTCTTTTCTGAAAAAGCCTCTTGGAAAGTATTGGTTCTCTACATACCAGGCGGACTACGATCTGAAAAGCTGCCTTCTCCTTCAGTAGGTGTAAGCCATCATTCAGGACAGACTGAAGAGTTCGCCCTAAGTCACAGAACACCAAAAACCTACAAGAGACAAGGGTTCGGCATGTAGCAGTACCTACCTGATCTGGAAACCCTGCAACAGACGCTCGTCAAAGCAATCCGCCTGGATTAGACCCCCCCTTCACCTCCCAGTTGACCTGCGCAAACATTTCCTCTACTTTTGATAACCGAAAACTCCTTGAAAAGGAGAGACACGCCGAGCACGTGTTGCAGACGCACAGCCTGAGTCTCCCCTTGGCGTTAAGCTCAAAAGACAGGAATACGGTGTCCCCAGGCCCGAGGGGCAGGAACAGCAAAAGCAATGACTTCACCGGCAAGACAAGGACTGAAGGAAACAGACTAACGAGAGGCAAACCATTTGTTAACAAACGAGATAGGAGCAGTGCGTAAGGTTAGGAACCCAGGGGACAATGACAAAAGGAGCAGCAGACAGCAAGGAGAGAAGAGGAAAAGCCCTTCGCAGAGTCGCCTCACCTGTAGCTATCTGCGTGTAGTCCAAAGCCAACGCAATTGGGGATTCCCAGCAACGGCACAGAGCGCCACTTCTTCCACTTCTCCACTAGAAGGGGAGAGAAGAGGACAGAGTGTGGCAGATGCTGCTAAGGAGCTCTAGAACGAAGCAGCTCAGTCCGGGATGCTCTTTCTCCGAAGGCTGCTCTGCCCTGGGAAGCTCACAGCGGGAAGCCTCTCTCCTACTGATTCTGTCCCAGAAACGCCAGCCTGACATGCTTCAAAATGCCAGTACTGGGTGTCCTAAGGTACGCAGAGACTCCTGGGAGAGCAGGCGCACGGCCCAACTGCTCAGCACTCTGGCACCAAGCAAGCAATGAATTAGTTTATTCTAGCCTGGCCTTCTGAGAGACTCTGATGAGAGAGGGACGCCAGTTTTCCTGACAAGCAGCCCAGTCCTTGCCCCTCCAAGCAGCACCAACCTGTGCCTGCCTTCGCAGCTCGCTGGAAAAAGTTCTGTTCATTGTAGATCTTGCCATCTTTGACATCCTGAAGGGAACGGAAAGGAAGAGGATTGCTTGAGCCGCACACACCCTGCTAGAAAGTGAAACTTGGGCAAGACTGCTACAAGACCTTCACTACTCATTTTAAAGACAGCAACAACCCCCTACCCCCCCCCCAAAAAAATAATCAAATACAGAGCTGGGAACAGAGCTCAGGCCTTTGGGTTCACTATTTAATGCTGTGCCTAACAACCACATAAACTCTGAGCATCAGCACAGAATGAGGGAGCAGCTGTCTCATGTTGGACATTTCAAGCACAACTGCTTACAACTGGCTGTGGGTTAAAAGCACCTAGACAATGCAGACCATCTGGCAGCCTAGAGCGAGCTCTAGTCCCAAAGCTGTTATTTTAACAGGAGCCAGAGGCAACCTTCTCATCCATAGCACAGATGAGGTTATATCTGCAGACAGGCAAGTCCCAACTGTAACCTTTTATTCTAGGTGTCAGAAAGCGAGACGAGTAAGAAAGTCTGTATTTGTGACATTCAAGTGTCCGGGACGTGTGCTGACACCTTACAATCCATCTTTTTTAAATCAGCAAGCATTACTGCCCTTTTACTACTGCTGTTACCGAGTGACCTGAAATGCATACAGTTTACAGTCACTATGTATGCATTCGGCTATGCACACGTATATACATACTCGGCGTACTGCAAGCTGACTTAAGACAGATGCCATTATGCATGGGAGGAGGCAGCACTTTTATATTCTGGCTGGTTTGATACCAAAGGCCCTACCCACAACTGGCTGAGGTAGCTGGAGGATCAGCAGGCTCCAGACAACACAAACGAGACCGTTCCAGAGGATATTTTATCCTGCACCTCGCCTGGTGAACCAATCTGAGCCATCAAACCCAGGAGCCAAAACGCTCTCGCGTGCCATATCATACTCTGCAGTCCTCTGCAACCGCTGCGCTGTCAGAAGACAACTGAGCAAAACACCAAAAGATGCCAAAGGTGCAAACTATAGGAATTGTGAGCATTGCATGCAGAAGCGACCACAGTTTCCCACCTACTGGTTCTCGTTTTGTGGCAGTTAGCTGTCTTTTCTCATTAACACTCTACTCTTTCTCTATCCTCTCAAATGGCTTTTCTCTGACAAAAGGGAGAGGGATTTTTCCAGAGTGGGCACCACCAGGTCCCCCCCAGAGCCCTCAGCCAGCACTGGTCTTCCCACAGATGAGCAATCCCCAAGAGCAGACAAGAAAACAGTCTTTCTGCTCTGGTTTGTGAGTTACTGAAAATCAATCAGCTGAACTTCCATTGTAGAACAGCTGTTACTGGAAATAGCACGTTTCTGGAGAACCCAGGTCATTGGGAAGTGCCTAGAAAGCTGGCTTCGAATTCCAGCTGTAGCTCCTGTTTGACAGAAAGATGTGCTCTGGCCTTACAGTGTCTCAGTGCTGGTTCATCACCCTGTCTCAGCACAGCCACCAAATTCTAACCTCTCCAGTTTCCCCAGGCATCAGCAGGGTATGCACACACTTGCCATACAGGAAAAAAAAGCAGGTCTGACATTAATGAATCAAGAGCTCTACCTTACACCTGCAAATCCAGTTTTGGCGACTACAGAGCTCGGCGAATCAGAGAGGCAACTTTTTGGGATGAAGGCTTTTCCTTTATTTAATCCTTACACCTGTTTTCTCCCCACCTTCAGTGGAAGAGCCAACTTCTACTGAAATCCAAGCAGGACACCCTCAGGAAGTTATATCCCTCTCCTAAGCTAGGAGGGGCCTCTGTGACCGCTTTCTCTGAATTCCTCGGACACTCTTAGCCATACAGGCCAGACGTGTCGAGCCCTGGACACTGGATGCAGTACACTACGTGCTATTCCTTACCCAAACAGATCAAAACTCACAAGTTTGAGGGAGTATCTTTGCTTTTGAGGGCAGGTTCCAGATGCTGACTGTGCTGTGGAAGGATGGAACAGATGTGGTTACAGGAGCACAGACAAGAGGTACTTGCAGTGTCAGCTGCGTCACTGAACACAGCCGGTGCAGCTGGCTTTTGCTTATCCTCTGCTTCTTTTACTTGGTCTTTGCAAAAGCATCTTCTGTGACAGCATCTTCCCAGAGAACTACAAAATAATTCTTACCTTGCTCCAGAAGCACAGCACCCCTGACATGCTTCGAGTGCAGTTCTGCTTAAGTCACAGAAGCATCTAGGCATGGCTACAGTAGTGGGGTGCTTTGAAGGTGGTACGTAAAGAACAAATCGTTAGTAGGATCTCAAAGGCATCCCCAAAGTCATTTGCTGAGCATTCCCTCCAGCTCACTTCTTAGTTTGTCAAGTCTGTAAGTGCTGCCAAGGTCCCTTCTGCTCTGCATGGATGTTAGAGTTATATGTGGCCTTCCTCCTTCACAAAGGTGTGCACCCATTACTTGGCCTTGGGGTAGTTCCTCTTCTCCTGCTCTCAGACTGAGGGCTGTACACAGGTTTGCTGCTGCTCGTCACCCAAAAGGTGTTTCTACAAAAGCATCCTCCACTATAATAGCAACAACAACACTGATTTTCTCTTTTGTAACACCACGTCTTCTTAAAGACATAGGTGGATGCCCAGACTTTGTTATGCAACAGCATAAGTAATTAAAAAAGAAACCAAAGCCAAATATCGGGCAAAGCTTACTAATGGATAAAATTCCTCCTGAGGAATGTTTCCAAGTTAACAACGGAGAGTGAAATCGAAACCTTTTCTTTGGAAGTTTACAACTAAACGGGAGAGCAAAGATCAGCAGTCAGCGAGCAGCTGAGAGGCAGCCCAGTCGATTTAGCCGCTTTCTTTGGCCCCCCAAAGGGGCCGAGAATCCCGAGCTGACATTCGGTCGATGCCGACACCACCTACACCACCAGCAGTTAGGCTTCGAACCTGAAAACCAGAAAGGGGAAGCACAGCTCCGACCACCAGAGCAGCCCAGCCTCCGCTCGGTCTTAGGCCAGCGCTAACCCCTGCGTTGTCGTTCACGGGTGGGTGCCCAGCG